GTAGTACTGGGATGTATAATAAAGAGCAGGTAGGCGCATCTGTTTTTAATGAGCCCATAATAGTTGTACAGTTAGGGTTTACATCTAATTTATTAAATATCAATTTGCAAATGCAGTTCATCTTTATCTCCCTTCGTAAACCCTCAATCAATGTTATTAATATTCACATATTATAGATTCTTTGAATTTTTTTAAGATTGAATACCTGAAAATTGCAATAGCCAATAGCAGGGCTATTGCACCTGCCCAGCGCTGCTGTCTATCAGCAGAGGAGGACCTGAAGGAAAAAAAAACAAAACAGCAGAGTAAACTTTTCCGGGATAAAATGCCTCTCTCGCGGGCATCAGGGGGCCTCTATCTTACAGTGGGAGACTCCCAGAACGTCCGGGAGTGTTGGGCTGTCTGGTATATGTTGGCATAACTGCAAATATACAGGAACATGCACAAGGCTGAATCTTTAACTGCTAAAAATGTTCATAAAACAGCAATAAAGTTATTGCAAAAAAGATGTCAAAGGGTTCATTTCACCCTTAATCGAAATATGTAAAAATCAGGAAAGAAATTGGCTAAAGAAGCTTTATCAAGTTGGTCGCAACAACAATGCAAGGCAACTTTTTTTCCCCCTCACCGCAATGTTAATTAAAGCACTTACCTTAAATGTTGTATCTTAATCCGATCTTCTTCTTCTTTCCTGATTTTTTCAGCCTTCTCTCCTGCACTGCGGCGACTCCTCTGGGCTTGCTGGCACTTCCTGTCCCCCGGTGTCTGCATGCGGGTGCAGACTTAGCGTGCACCTTACTGTATAGCTGGTGACAAATGGTTGAGTGCATTTGTCATTTGTTTTGCCAGGCTTACCTTGTGTCCCGGCCGAAAATGTGAACTGCACATGCGCGCGCCCCAAGATCCTTTGCGGCCGCCCGGGAATTTTCATTTTCAGACAGGAGCGCGCGGGGAAGACACAGGTAAGTTTAAACCACTGTTAAAGCTGGTTTTGTTTTAACTTTTTGCAAATATCTACTGATGGCCAGCAGTAGATATATGCAGAAAAAGCTGAGGGTTTAGAAACCCTTTAAGCTAAGGGAAACTTCCCCTGCAAAGTGTACAGCCTATTTGCCTTTAGTAAATCAACCCCCCACATGTATTTGTGTAAATGCATGGTTATACACGGATATATTAAAACACTACAATATGGTTATATAAACTGTCAATGCCAGTTGACTAGGTGTGCATGAAGGTAACACACGGTCAGATGAACTTGTACCTGCCTAACAACTGCATCCTAGCAAGGGAAAAATAGCCAAAATAAAAGCCATGTGGGACTTAAGTGGGAATGAATCATCAGCCCACTGGAGCAAGAGAGCTGGTTTTACATAAATGCCTAGATGCTTTACATGCTTCCCACGTATTGAATAACATAGAACCTTAATTAATGGTTTAATTTACAGTGTGCCCTGATTAATATGTAGTTAATATGCATGGTGGCAGGCAAGCATTCATTTGTTGAATTAGGGCCAGTATGTTTCTTTGCAAGTGCATGAATTATTTCATGCTAATCAGAAAATACAAATGCCTAACCACTCTTGATCTATGATGTTGAAAAATAAAATTAAACTCATTAGTTCAGGTCATCAACACTTATACGCAAAAAACACAACTGCACTATTAATGTAACCTAAACCAAGATCAAGTGTATTACATATTACTCTGGTGGTCACCCTGCAGCCCTCAGGTCAGGATTCTCTACCTAGGTGTTCATTCAAGTTTTTTGATCTGTATCTGACCCACAACAATATAAGGAGTATTTCTAGAATTATTCTATGGCTCCTTGTCATGTAACCTGTGATCAAGAAAAAGCCTGGGAACTCTGTAGTGGGGCCAACATTAATGAGGCCGGAAAAAAAGCACCAAACTACAGTATCTTCACTGCAAAAACTGATGAACTGTAGCACAGTCCCAGCCCTGCCAGAAGAGAAAATTGGAGTTACGTACCTGGTAACTCTGTTTCTAGGAACCTTCCAGGACAGCATTAGAGAGATAGGCTCCTCCCACCGGAAACAGGAAACACATCACCCACACCTAGAATAACTTCAGCAGCTCTATTCTGCAACCCCTGCGTATCAGATCCAAAACAAACACGCTGTCTGTGATCTGAAGCCACTGCAGGAGAAAGTCCCTCAATCTTCCCCCCACAATGGCTGCTCTGTCATTGTGTCTTGGGGGGTTGGGAGGGGTTAAAAAGGAAACTGCTTTTCCCTTTTCCCTTTTTATTCTCCCAGTTCCGATTTTTGAATTGCCCTCTTCTGTCTTTATGCGGGAGACCTTTTTTGCTCGGCTGATAACGCTGATTTTTAAATCCAGTGCTAGGCTGGTACTCTTTTTATTCTAGGTGTGGGTGATGTGTTTCCTGTTTCCGGTGGGAGGAGCCTATCTCTCTCTAATGCTGTCCTGGAAGGTGACTAGAGAAAAATAATAATTATTCTGCTAGTTCAAGCTGAACTCCAGGATAAGCAAATATTGTCTAAATGACAGTAGCATGTGTATTCTTACTTCAATCTTGGTGTTTTGTGTATTTCTTCCTGATCAGTGTAATGATTCAGGTTAAAACTTTTCTTCCATGCTGGGGCCTCTTGTATTAAAGACTGGCCATTGCTGCTCTGTACCCCTGTGCAGGGTGACTGATCTTGGATCTGCCCCCTCCAGTAGTTTTCTGCAGGCAGCTGGTAAGGGGTGGGCCTGTTGAGTCTTTCCTACAGCTCAGCCTATGTGAGTTTGCAAACACATTTGGTGCACAGACAGTGGATTTATAGCATGTTCATTGAGTAGTATATTTAAAGTGATATTAAACCCGTTTTTAATTCACCAGTGGAGATCCAGTTATATAATGAGCTTAATTTTTTTTTTTTTACTGCCCCTTAATTTATTCCAGGTCATATACCACGGCCATCCCCGACTGTTTAGGGGTGTCTCCTTTGCCTAGCAGGTTGCAAAAAAACAACCGTGCATTTGCGCTCCCAGCCAGGAACTGAGCCGAACTGTGTGTGTCCACTAACTCACACAGCTCTCAAGCCACACCCCTGCTCCCGCCTCCTCCTAGTAATTTGACAGGTAGGTGCCGCAGCCTATTGCTGCCTTGTCCTCAGTGAGCTTGGGATCCCTCCACTCAACCTGGAACTTTGTGGAAGCTGGCAGCAGTAAACATGGACCATAGGTAAGTGTTTGGAGTTGCGTGGCATGCTAAAAGTAGCACAATGTTTTTTACCCTAAAGCGGGCAATGAATTAAGGTAAAAAAAAAAAATACCCTTTAGTATTACTTTAAAATTAAAGTGACATTAAACCCTCAGATTTTTTAACATGAACCAATACTGTAATCCATGGTTGTTTCCCTTCTCTTTGCCGCTCTTCCTTTTAAATCTGTATCTGTTCTCATGCTCTGCAGAACTTCTGTTTTGCAGCAGACTGCCTTGTCTCAGGAATGGATACACGGTGTCTGTGTATAGGTTTGTATAGGCTTGTAACCTGAGCCAGCACTACAGGAAGAGGCTCTGAGCTGAAAAGGGAAGTTCTCCCCCAGCATTAGAAGACATGATTTAAAAAGAGCAGCAAAGAGAAGGGAAACAACCATGGATTACAGTAAGGCACACATTACAGTATTGGTTTATATGTTAAAAAATCTGGAGGGTTTAATGTCACTTTAAGGTTTTGTGCCTGGAGTTGAGATTTAAAACAAACCTAACCTGAGACAAAAGAGAGTCATTGCTAACTTCTCAATGAGCAAATTCTAGTTGCCTAGCTGTTTATACTCCCACTTCGTCTTTTAAATCTTATTGATTCACTAAACCAGAAAAAAAAAAAGTGTACAGATAATAACTTTAGGCTTACTCTAGCTTGATGATCTGCATAATTGCAGTTGCTCCTTCAAGGAAGGGGGTCAGCAAAAACAGCCCCCATATTTTTACAATAGTCACGTTTCTTGGTTTTGCACTGCTATTTAGAAAATGTTTTGCTCTGCATTATTTCTTTCTCCCTTTCCTGTTTATGTGCTTTTCATTGCATTTTTTCAGAGCTAGGTGATCATTTGATAAGAAGGTGCTAGATAAATTAACCAAAAACAACTTTTTTTTTTTGTAGACTTGGATTTTACTACCAAAGATTAAAGACTTGGGTAATATATGACTATTTTGTGTGTGTATCTATCTAAAAAAAATGCAAGCAGCAAGCATTAAAAAAAAAAAAAAAGCACAGCAGACCTTTTACTGCAGGTTTCACATCATGCAAGTTTTACATGTTGGACAACATATAAGGAAATAAAAGTAAAGCGTACAAGATAAAAACACAAGGTCAAGTTGCCAATTTTATCATAGACAAGTCTGTTATTTATTTTATAGAATAATTTTTTCCTAAGAAAAAAAAAAAATGTTAATAAAAAAAAACAGGCTTCATACAACCTAAATAAGTTTATTTACTAACCCGTGCTTTTATTCAGACTTTTGAAAAATTACAAGATGTTTGAAAATATCAAACTCATTTAAGCTTCTTCTGCTTTTCCATAACAAAACCTAAAAATTGAATTTAGAAACAATTTCTTATACAATTTATTGGCAAATTGAAAAATGCTAATGCGCATCTAAAAAGGCAAAACTTTTTTTGCAAGTGATTAGAACCTCTGTCAGACTTTAAATGTTGTCCCCACTAGGTGGAGTCAAACTTTCTATTTTTCCTGGTGACCTCTGCCACAGGGAGTAAAAGGGAAAAGTCCACAATTTTGAGTTGTCTATTTAAGAATTAATTTATCTTACTTTGTAGAGATTTCCTCCTATTCCCCGTTGTGTTTACAGGAGTCAAAAATTAAGCAAAATCTTCCAAATAGGACATATGACAAAAAAAAAAACACACACACAAACAGGTTTAAGCCAAATTACTACATTATCCATAATGAAAAAGTTTTGTCTTTAGATATACTTGATTCCTTCCATAAGCCATCTTTGTAAAGCTTTTTCCCTTCTGTGCCTATAATACACTCATTTGTCTGATGCCAGGTCAACCAGTTCCACTGTAATATACAGGATGGGGTGATGGATTGTTGAACTTCACAACCCATTCATACTTCAGGACCTTCTCCTCCAGGTACAAGCTACGATGAGAAAAAGAACACACAAATGTGAAATGAATTACATTAGAGTGAACAAAAACACATTTTTGAAGAGTTTCTATTTAAGGCAAAATATATCAAATTAATTATCTCCAGCTTGCTATATTACATTCTATGACAAACTGCCCTCAATTACATAGCAATTAGTCCAGACACAATCTAGAAAGTCAGACTGCCTAGCAACAGAAGAAGTCAGCTTCCTAGCCAATCAGGAAGCCAGATGGCACGTTATGACCCACCTCCCCGATTGGTCAGGAAGCCAGGCTGCCTCACATCATGATCAGCTAATCAGGAAGCCAAACTGCCTAGCAATAAGTGAAGCCGGCTTCCTAGCCAATCAGGAAGCTTTGCGGCACGTCATAACCCGCCACCCGGCTAGGAAGCCGGCTTTACTTGTTAGGAAGCATAGCTTCCCGATTGGTCAGGAAGCCGGACAACACACCATGACCCACCTCTAGATTTCCCGATTGGCTAGGGAGCCGGCTTTATGATGCGAGGCAGGTCATGACGTGTGCAGTGCAGTTTTATTCCGAAATACATTTTATGCTTGTAAACACTCCATTTGTGTAGGTTATTTTAAATTATGGAAGGTATTTATTTATTTTTTAAATCCAAGTAAAAGAAAAGAAAAAAAAAAAAAAAAAAAAAATCGGCCAACCAATAGATTATGGAAATAATTGTTAGTTGCAGCCCTAGTTGTGTCACTATGCAGTTGTTGGAAATGTTGGCACAACGTATGATTTTAGGTTCCACAGGCAAAGCCTGGGGATGGAGATATGTTATTTGAGAAAACACACAGTATTTTGGAAACTTACCATGGTTATATTGTTTCCATTTAGCAAGATTTGATCAAGTTTTGTAATTCGCCTTCCCTCAGGTGTAATCTCACTAAAAAGTGAAAAACCAAAACATTACATTACAGGCTGACACTTTCTATATACTGATTTCCAGAAAAAGAAAGCAGATATTTAATGCACAGTTTGAAAAAAGTAAAAAAAAAAAAAAAAAAAAAAAATACAAAACAGAAA